GAGATTAACCTGGACTAATGGCGTGGACCAATATAATCACAAGGGTCCTTATAAAGGGAAGAGGGACCAAGAGAGATGGCAGTCCAAGAAGGACTTGGCAGACAATGCTGACTTTGAAGATGGAGGAAGGGGGCCACGAGCAAAGGAATCCAGGCAGCCTTATAGAAACTGGAAAAAGCAAGGATAGTGATTCTCCCCTAGAGCCTCTGGGTGGAAACGAGAGCCCCCAGAAGGAACACAGTCCTGCTGACACTTTGATTTTTAGCCCAGTGAGACTCATTTTCAGACTTCTGACCTCCAGAACCGTAAAATAAATTTGTATCGTCTTAAGCAACTACATTTGTGGTAATGTTATAGCAGCAATAGGAACCCACACCTGTTGTTTCAACGATATATTTACTTTCTAAGACCTTTCTTTTTTGCTTTATTTCTGGTTTTCCTGGTCATTTTTATGCTTTGCTGATACTTTTGGAGTTTAGTACTGTTACTGTTAGCTGCCACTGAGCTGATTCCGACTCATGGCAACCCAACGTGTGCAGAGTAGAACTGTGCTCCCTAGGGTTTTCAAGGCTGTGACCTTTCGGAAGCAGATCACCAGGTCTGTCTCCAAGCAGGGCTTTGAACTGGTTTTTCTCAGTTTAATCATGGCCGAGGAATCAAAACTGGAATAGACTCAAAGTTTTAAAAATTTTGGTGAACTGAAATGGGAAAAATTACAAGTCAAAGCTCTGCTAGAACCTAATCTCCCTCTAGGAAACAAGGGCCGAGTGCGTGTTACACAGCAACCAAATCTCTTGCCCGTCAGATTTTGAGCAGAGTTGGAAATGGCTGTGCTCCGCTCACAGATGGCAGCCGACCTCGCCGCTTTCAATGTGTTTCTCCAGAGTCAGGCCAATAATCCGATCTCGCGCATCAGGCTCCTGGAAGGGCTCACGACGCCTCTTCTGAGTCTCCCACTTCAGGGCTTTGACCTGTAAGTTTTCCTGTTCCAGTTATCGTTCTGGATCATCCAAATTGTAAGAATTTGGGTTTGTTCTGGTTTCATTTCATTGGCCATGACTGAACCAGTTCGAAGCCCTGCTTCCGAGGCAGCTCTGGGTGGGTTTGAACCACCAACCTGATTCCTCACATTTTATTCTTATTTTTCAAAATTGTTTTACTTATTCTAGTAGTTGAGTGCTAAACTGTTTGCACCACTCAGGGGCTTCCTGGTCATTTTTAACAGTCTCCTATTATTTGCTGTTTCCATCATTTTATTCTTATATTTCATGGTTTTTGTGTTTAACTTTTCATTTTGAGATAATTTTAAATTCTCATGCAGTTGTAAGAAATAATGCAAAGACCTCATTTACCCTTTACCCAATTTCCTCCAATGATAACATCTTACAAAACTGTAATACATCACAACCAGAACATGAACATTGATAAGTCAAATACAGAACATTTCCATCACTACAAAGATCTTCCATGCTGTCCTTTTATAACCACACATATAGTCATATGCAACCTTCTGTCTGGGTTCTTTCACTTAATGTAGTTTTTGAGGTTCATCCGCATTATAACATGCATCAGTACTTCATTCCTTTTTATGGCTGAATAACACTCCATTGTATGATTGGTTTATCCATTCATCCATTGATGGACATTTGGGCTGTTTCTATCTTTTGGCTATTGTTAATATGGCTGCTATGAATGTATGTGTACAGGTATTTGAGTACAGTTCTTTTGGGTATATACCAAAGACCGTCCAATTACTGCTCTAGCACTATTTGTTGAAAAAGCTACTTCTCCTCTATTAAACTACTTTTTAACCTTCGTCAGAAATCATTTGGGCATATTTGTGTGGCTCTATTCCTGGGTTCTCTGTTCTGTTCTATTCATCTATGTGTATATCCCTCCACCA